ACAGGAAATCTATGCACATAAAATTTGAGCCCACTATGGTTTTTTTTTTTACCTCTCACGTTAATTCAAACTATAGCTCCATGAAGACTATTCAATAGAACAAATGTGGCAATTATATATGTGACAGGCAATACCATATTGTTCATTGTGTTTAGGATTAAAATCAACAAATCAATCATAGATATATGACAATTTTTCTAACAGCTCATTTTTTGGTTATTTCTGCTACCTACGTTTATAGAGCTTTCATTAGCTCATGAAATCTCAAAATCAGGAGAATTCAACAGATCGAAAGACTAAAGTAGAGTTCAATCTCATAATACAGAGATTTTTTTGTGACAATCAAAGAATACACAATTTATGAATTTTAACATTAAAATGGCCACCATTTGAAATTGACAAATACATATGCATGATATGTATCTAATGAAGTTTGAACATGATTGGTCATGATGTCAGAGATCAGCATTTGTTAAAAAAGATGGCCGCCAGTAGGCCATTTTGAAACCGATCAGAAAAACAAAATGACCAATGTATGTACTAAGACTGAATAAAATACATGACCAAGGAATGGCAGCATGATTTTGATGAAGTTTAAACCTATTTGAGGAAAGCTTAGAAAGAACTTCTGTGTGCATTGGAGGCATAAAGTACAAATAAGGAATACTGTATATAATTTATATTTACAGTTAGCACATACTGTGGAATACTTTATTTTCGCTGGAATTAATTTTTGCTGAAAAGGCTTTTTGGGCGTTTTGTATGGAATTTATTTTCACAGATTTTTGATGAGTTTAATGTGAAATATAGGAAAAAAAGTATATTCGCTGGATTTTATTTTCACGGAATCATCCCTTCAGCGAAAATGGCGAAAATAAAGTATTCTACAGTAGCTAAGAGCAAATGCAGCATTTACACATTTTGTAGGACAACAAATTAAATTAAAATACCAGTTGCATGTCCCTATTTGCAACAGTACTTAAGATATTACAGTTGAACATATTATTGAGGTCACATGATTTCAACCAAAAACTAATCAGGTTTGCTCAATATCCCGGAGCATTTATGTGCCATATTTCAATAAAATCTGATGAATGGCACTTGAGAAAGTGAAAATGCTTAAAATGTGCTAACTAACTATAATAGGTCATTAATAAGCATGTATTTCAAAAAAAACCAATCAGGTCTGTGCATTATCCAAGAGCACATGTGTATCAAGATTCATTGAAATCCGCTGAATGGTTTATGAGAAAAAAATTACAAGACATAAATGTCACAGACCCGTTATTTAATTATAAAATACTCATGTTAAAATAATACATGGAACATCTGCAAACAGGTGAATTAATATGTACTCTATGTGGGTGCAACTCATCATAACATGTTTCCCTTAATCTGATAACTGAAAACTTTCATTGACCCCTGTCCAAAATCTCAGAGAACACAAGTGCAACCAAACTATGTCTCATAAATGCTTGAGAAACTGCATTCATAAATCTGAGTAAACCTTGATGTACCTTTATTAACAACTTGACTTCTTTGTTAATTCAGGTCTTTGTATATTACCGGGACCTGGGTTTGTTTCAGTATCACCACTATAATTCCCATCAAAATGTAGCCTGAGAGCCCTCAAGATTTTCCACTGAGATTGGTAATGTTACGACCCATCTGTCACTGATTCAGATCAAGGTCATAACATCACTAAAAACCCTAGCATTACAATCTAAGCTAATCATTTATTCTGAGCATGCTCAGCTGCTCTGTCAGTGCAGTAGGCAGAGGTAATTTTGGAAAAAAAATTATGTTTTCGAAATAAAAAGTTTTTATTATTTTAAACAGTACATAATATATAATAATAATTTTAAAATTCATGGTTATAAGGCATGCTGTAATTTCATACATGTGAATATTTTCACACAAATTCTTAGTCTCAGTTGTCCTAAGTGTTTTTGGTTTCTTAGTGACAGCTCTGTATTTTT